AAAATCACCAACTTCCACCAATGAGTCAAGTAGTTAAAGGCAATAATGATGTACTTATTGTTAGTAGTCAAACCTGAAAAATGCCCTATCAAATCAAATGCCACCAACTCAAACAAACAGGAAATTACAATTGACTTTAACTATCCTTTTGCAACATAAAGGGTAATATTATGAGCCAAACACAACTATGCACATACCAAATAACATCATATCTTAGGTTAATAGAAAAATCTATAGAATTTCTCAATCATAAAATAATATTTAATATGCTTGCTAAAAATAAAAAAGTCATGGTAGGTATGGAGAAAGCATGCAATGAAGACCAAAAACACCACCAATTGTAAATAATCATTAGAATCTATCCCAACAAAATAAAGAAGGTTGTCTTTAATATGATATTGAGAATGTAAATGCTAAAATGACAAGTTATTAGCAAGTGATGTAAGATTTTCAAACCCATCATCAAGCCTTTAAATCCATACGTCAACTTTTTAAGCTTAACAAACCTTATTAAGAGAAAGTAAATCTTGCTCTACACCTTGTGGACACTAAATATTAAATACAGTATGGAATCCTTATTCAAAAACTTTATTAATGCTAGAACAATAGACTTGTCAAGAATAGAATGAGTGAAAAAAGAAAAAAAGCTCAAGAAAGGGTGTTTGCATCAATTATAAAACTCTCTAGGAAATGAACAACTTTAAATTTATATATTTAAAATTTTAGGATCCACTAAGTAGTATAATCCACTTTAATAATGAAGTAACCACAACATGATTACATTTTAATAATGTTTAAGAATTATGCAAATAACTAGTGTATGCAATAGGATGATATTGACCAAGCACACTCATGTTTTTTTGCATCAAAACACAAGATTTATATCAAAAGCATCTATATGCAAAATAAAAGGTCAAGTGTAGTTTTAGGTTAAATGTAACTTTAACTAAACTTTCCATAACCAATCTAACACCTTACAAATATTATAGATATACTCCTCTTACATCCCTTCAAAGTGGATCAAGACATTATTGATGAAATCAATAGTCACTTCCAGCATATTGTAAAGAACCTTATCCATCATCCACTGAAAAATTATTAAAGCATTGTTTAATCCAAATGGCATCACCAAGAACTCATACAAACTAAATAGTGTATGCAAAATAATTTTGGAAATATTTTTATTAGCCATTAGCATTTGCTAATACCAAGAAGTAAGATATAATTTATAACAACTTCTCTTTAGATAATCTAGCACATTAGCAATGTGAAGAAAAAGGTACACATTTGGGATAATCACCTCATTTAATAGATAATATCTAGTAGATTTTATTACAAAATGAGTTTCACATACCCAAGAACTCCAAGACTTATGCAAAATCATCAAGTGCCAATTGCTTCCCACAATTAGCCAAAAATCTTCATGACCCTTACCATAAAGTGATGTAGCTATATAAAGAAGTGAAAAAGAGTAAGATGGCTATTATCCAAGATTAATGCATAATGGTTTTGGAACTTCTAGTAATATAACACAAGCCAATGTTAACATGGAAGAAAAAAACATACTTTAGGGACATCCTAAAGCAATATAGAAAAACCAATGCTATGGATGAGTTGAAAAAAGACCATACCAATTAGGGATTTTAGTGTCCACTAAATCAAGAACTAGTTTATTGTAACATGTTTGGTTTAACTATATTTCATATGCAAACAATCCCCGCATCTCAAATGCAACTTCCTTAGAATTTAAAGAAGAATTGAGTATTGCAACTTAATCCTTTTGTTAGCAAATCTAAGTAAAATGGTTTAGTGCTTCACTACTATCCATCCCACGACTCACCACACGTAATACCACTTTAATTATTTAACTATTGCATGTTGTGAACTCAAGCAATGAGATCACACCTCATTGCAAATCATTTATCCAAGAAGAGAAAATGATTTACGTGTTTGATTTTTTATCTTTGATAACATGTTTTGCAATCTTAACTTGATTAAACCTCAAGCTTGCATTCACACTGCCTTTAATTTAATCCAAGAAAAGTTTATTGTTACTATATGCTAGTAAACCTCCTTTGGGTTTGTTATGAGTGGCAAATAGACTGGTTTGTAGTTATTTAACACGGCACTAGTGGATCCTTCCTAGGTATGATTATGAGTGGATCAATTAAGACTATAAGGATTAGTTTATTAGTTTAAATAGTCATTATTGTGTATAATAACCACAGTAAGCTAACATTAATTTTGTCAAATCAAAATATAACTTTAAGTTGTTAATGTGCCTCACTCATGAGCCTAAGTATAACTCATGCAAATGATACATCTTAAATCCATCCTATAAACCCAACCAAAGCTATAATATAGTATGAAAAGGTAACTAAAATCTATATTTAAAGGATCTATAAGAAGTCATAACAACTAAATATATACTTATTTGAATTATCATTTTCAATGCTATGTATGCTATGAAAGCACATTTTAGGCTTTCATCTCAGTCCCAAAAGCTAATTTCTAAAAAAATCATGATAATTTACTAAATATGGAATAGTGTTTTATTATGACTTT